TTAAATAACGTTTGATAAACGGTGCCAATTTTTGGGCATCACATTTGTATGTAGCACTAATATATTTTTTAATAGCCAAAAGTGATGAGCCACCACGTTCTTTTAAATTCTTAATTGATGCATCAACCATTTCTTGAGTTGGTGGATGGGTTGGCGCAGCTGATATTTTTTTCGGCTTGATTGCCTTTTTTGAAACGACTTTTTTATCAGCAACAGCAGTAGCTCCAGCGGCCACCGGAGAGCTAACATTGGCAACAGCAACTGTATCAGACATTTTCACTTTGCTTATTGAAAAATAAATGCACAATTTATTTCTATTAAATATACACTTTAAGTATTTAAAACACTCAATATTAGTTTCAAATTTTGAAGGGTTTGATGTAAAAATTTTAGTGCCTTTAAAATTTGAGAATCAATGTGAAAAGATGAGTGACAAATTTTAACATTCTATTGCATTTTGCCAATCGCAAACCACAAAGTTTCAACTTTAATTAATCAAATAATTCACTATGTGAAATGCTAGCTTAAGTGTTTTTTCTTAACTTGTAATCACAATAATTTCACAATAATTAATATTTATCAAAAAGTACGGATTTTCGTCCAAACTTTGTACCCAAAAAGCTTCAAAATTGTCGTTAAAAGTTAAGTTTCTTAAAACAAACCTTTTGATTTTATTAATTTTCATGAGTAGATCAAATTATTCATGATATAAATAATTAATAGTAGACTTTTGCTAAGAAATTATTTTTCAAAATTTTTTTTAATTTTTCGACGTTGTTATTGATGCAACATTAAGAGTATTGTGTGTTATTATACATTTTTATATATTATACGTACATAATATTTGATTCATTATGTATCCTCATTAGACTCAAGAGTGAAAATGTAAAGTTCAAGTGTAATAATATGACATGGTACTACATGTATGAAAATATAGGAAGGCAAATACATAAAAACATACAGTACATATACTCGTACGTAAATGCACATATAAATTAAAATAAAATAAAACTTTATTTTAACAATAATTTGATCAATATGCATAACTTTTAAAATTAACTAGAAAAACTGGCAGTATACGAAAATATACATAAGGCATCAATATTTATGTTATAAAAATAAATAAGTTCGGCTATCATTTCTTAGCTATGTCTATTAGTATTCAATCAGCACAAACATGACAACCAATAAAAGAGCTACAAATATAATCATATTAGATTATACATATGCAAATAAATGTTTACAGTAAGATTAAATGATAAATGGGGTATAATGGGGTGTAATGGGGTGTAGTCAAGCTTCTGGTTATGCGGTTACAGTTGCGAGGCTATGCTCAATTTCTACTCTTGCGTCCACGTCGGGCACCCTGGAAACGTGAGCAACCCTTGTGCAAGATGCGGTAACCAACCCGTGTGGAGCCTCGGGTCATGGCTAATGAGAGAGGAGTTTAAAGGTCTGCTGAAGTCTAACTGCAGCATCTGTTCACCAGAGGTGCGGTTGCGAGTGAGCGTCGGTCTTGAAGCAAGCGGCTCGCTATATAAATGTTTAAAAAAAACCTTTAGCATACTCGCCTAGCGAGGTTGTGCGCTGGGTTTCGGACCCGCCACGTCGAAACCAGCTCCAATGCAAAATGCAACAACGCCTCTGATGAGATACCGCCTTTCTGTTGACGACCCCCGCAAACGAATTAAGGATCACCATTTGAGGGCATGCACTTAGAATGTCCGGTCCCTTAATTGGGAAGCTGACGCTGCCCAGCTGGTTGATGTCCTTGTATGACCTCACAGCCATCCAAGAGGTGCGAAGGACAGAACGAGGACGAAAGCGAGTTAGTTCTTGTTACATTTACCAGAGCGGCCATATAAAGGAGCGCAAATTTGGTGTTAGATTTGTG